TCAGTCTGAGGTTAGTCCTGGTATAGACCTGGTTCAGACCTGGTTCAGTCCTGGTTCAGCTCTGGTTCAGTTCTGGTTTAGTCCTGCTTCAGTCCATATACAGCGCAAAAGTTCAGCATCTTCGCAGTTATTTTGGTGAGAGTAACTTAAAGTAATGCAATAGTAATGTAACGCCTTACATTTAAATGCAGTAATATTGTAATGTAACAAATTACGTTGAAATGACAGTAATAAGTAATAAATAACACATTACAGTTTTAAAGTAACTTGTCCAACAGTGCTGAAATCTGAAATGTGACTGTAATATTTGTCAGATGAAACACACGTACAGTCTCTTCTCTCTCTGCTGCTCGGTATAAGTCAGACTCTTTTGTGCAGGTGACTCTCCAGATGTGTTTTTGGGAGAGGAGCTTCAGTTCGGGCTCTTCTGGAGGTGCTGCACGGGTCTCATTACCGATTCTGAATCGTTTGAAGGTAATTACGTCTTAACGAGGACAGATGAGCTCCGAGACAAACCCGGGCGTCTCCACTTCATCAGGGAGACAGCGCGGTCGCTAAACTACAGGAAGATCTCAACAGGATTATGAAACTTAAACAGGTTGGAGAGGTGGAGGAGGGGCTCTGGGAACTTGTGACAATACGCAGAGGTTTGTCATTCTCACTTACATGTACTCGGAACGTTTTAAACAGGAGGTATTTTACTTCTATTGAATGTTAACGCTTGTGCACCTCTTTAAAAATAGTTACCGTATTTTCCGGGCTATAGGGTGCACTCTTAAGCCTCCAACTCCATCAAAAAATGACTGTGCGCTAGAGATGCGCGGATGGGCTATTTTTTCATCCGCAACCACGACACAAAACTCATCATCCGCTCGCTGTCCATTTGCACCCAAGGTTTTGACCAATTTTCAAAACCGCACTCGCCCGCCATCTGCCCATTGATTTTAGATTTTAGAACAATCATATAGCAAACAAACTAAAGAGACTCGTAAAAAATGCAAACTCTAGAGCTCATTCATTCCAAAATTCGCTCAACGTGCATGTTCGCATTCTTAATCGTTCGTAACAAAACGCTGCTCTTTGCTCAGGGTTTAACTCCCTGTTCGGAACCTCACCGTGAGTGCGTGGGCTCAATAAACGCGCCATAACACTTAACAATATAACCTGTAATATATATATTCTTTCATTTGAGTAGTTAAACCGCCACCCGCACAAATTTAATTAAAATATTATTTTTCGTCACGTCATCCACCCGCTGTAACCGCAATCTCGCATCTCTACTGTGCGCCCCACAATCCAGAGCGCCCCATACACGAATCCACTCAGGTGTCCCAGCACAGACTTCAGTAAACTACAAACACACACGGAGCAGACAGCGACCGCACAGCCAAAAACACCCACAGACACACTCATCACTCCACGCCGACGAGGAACGGAACAGAGGAACGAACGCTCCTCGAATGGCGAATTAGACACTCTGGATTATAAGACGCTCTGTCATTAAATGGTCTATTGTCAAACTTTTGGCATGTTCGCAGTGACTCAGTTGTTCAGTTGTGTCTAGAAGTGGCACATTGCACTCGCTTTTTCGGTTTGTTCCTCCGTTCCGTTCCTCGTCGGCGTGGAGTGATGAGTGTGTCTGTGGGTGTTTTTGGCTGCGCGGTCGCTGTCTTCTCCATGCGGGTTTTCGTGGTGCGGCTTTGTAGTTTACTGAAGTCGTGCTGGGACACTCGAGTGGATTCGTGTATGGGGCGCTCTGGATTGTGGGGCGCGATCGTTTTTTGATGGAGTTAGAGGCTTAAGAGTGTGTGTAATAGCCCGGAAAATACTTTACATTTACTTGTAACGTTTTAAAGAGGATGTATTTTACTTCTATTGAATGTTAAAACCTTGTGCAAGCCTTTAAAAATAGTAACCGTTTTTTCCGGGCTATAGGTCACGCTCTTAAGCCTCCAACTCCATCACAAAATGACCGTGCGCCCCACAATCCAGAGCGCCCCATACACGAATCCACTTGAGTGTCCCAGCACGACTTCAGTAAAACTACAAACACACACGGAGCAGACAGCGACCGCACAGCCAAAAACACCCACAGACACACTCATCACTCCACGCCGACGAGGAACGGAACGGAGGAACGAACGCTCCTCAAATGGCGAATTAGGTGTTCTGGATTATAAGACGCACTGTCATTAAATGGTCTATTGTCAAACTTTTTTCACAAAGAAACCGCGTGGGACTTTAAAGGAAACACAACAGTGTGATGGGTGAGTGGTTTTGTTTGTTTGTGGCGTTCACGGTGACTCTGGGCTTTGTTCAGTTGTGGTGTGTAGGGAGGGTGCTGTCTGGGACCAACGGATTGTCGGCGTGTTCGCAGTGACTCAGTTGTTCATTGTGTCTAGAAGTGGCACATTGCACTCGTGGCTTTTTCGGTTTGTTCCTCCGTTCCGTTCCTCGTTGGCGTGGAGTGATGAGTGTGTCTGTGGGTGGTTTTGGCTGTGTGATCTCTGTCTTCTCCATGCGTGTTTACATGGTGCGGCTTTGTAGTTTACTGAAGTCGTGCTGGGACACTCGAGTGGATTCGTGTATAGGGCGTCTGGATTGTGGGCGCACAGTCGTTTTTTGATGGAGTTGGAGGCTTAAGAGCGCGTCTAATAGCCCAGAAAATACAGTAAGTCCTCTATACTTTAGGGACCCCGATCTGACCCAGAGCTCTGTATTAGAATTGTATTGGAAAGGGAATAAGTTTTTTGTGATTTTAATCGATCGATTCTATTTGTCGTTTTTGATAGAACACACCTAGCAATAAACATTAAAGTTATGGCAGTAAACAAAATCATTTTGAATGGAAGTCAATGGGACAAAACTGTACGGAAGGAGCAGAAGTGTGAGTATTTTGATTATAGACTGTTTAATTAATGTGAGCTTGAAAAAACACAGACATTAAAAATACACAAACTGGCCAATTTTGGTGTTATTTGGTGCAATGTAGCCAAAGTTATACTAAAAAGAAAAGCACAGATGTACAAAAATGTAGTGAGGGCAGCAGGACGGTTCAAGTGACTCCTGTGAGATTTAAGCTTTGTTATAATGTTCCTCAAATACACACCTGGACTTGTGTTTTGTTTCATCAGATATTTACATATTCACGTTCCCTTTGAAGGTTTCTGGAAAATGTAATATTCACTAAAACAACCTATTCCCATATTTTACAAGTTTCACTCCATTTGCTCCTTGTGCTAAGTCACTCCCCCTTCAGAGCACTATCACAACACAGTCAGGTTCCATCCTGTTCATGAAACTCCTGCACATCACATCAGGTTTGTCCACTTGTAGTGTCGTATTATGTTTTTGTGTATTTTCTAGCAGCATACTTTTAGTCTGACTTTTACTGAAGTAACAATACTCGAGTAGAGTAAACGCTGTGGTTACTCTGCTCACTGTGAGTACGTCTAAAGTGACAGTGGGGGGGGGATGTTGGGCCCAGAGGAAACCCACCCACACACAGGGAGAACATGCAAACTCCCACACAAACACCCGAGATTCCAGAGGGTCTGTGCTGCTGTGAGGCGACCCTGTCACTGTGCTTGACCTCTCTGTAACTCCTGGACCTATCCACAACAAACACTGTCACACACAAGAATCCAAACAGCACACACAACAAATGAAACGCTCACTCTGTTTCAACATTTGAACATTTACATATTGTGTTAAATATTTACATTTAAATATGTCCTATAAATCATAAAAATATATATATATATATATTTTTTTTTTTTTAAGTCCAAAGGAACCAATCAGCACTCTGCTGGTCGTCATGGCGACGTGTGAGACTTGCATGACATCATTTTGGCAGGACACAGAGTAAGAGGCTAAAGCCTCACTGACGAAATCAAACAGAAGCTGAAGCAGAGAGAGGATGACTTTCACTTCAACATTTATATTATATATAAATATCTTATGGTATAAATATAAATATTATTATTTTATCAACACTTGGAGTGTCTGACTCAACTTTTTGACTTTATGCACAGATGATAAAAACACCTCTGCAGCTACTGTTACAAGAAACTTCTTTTATTATATTATATATATATAAATGTGTCCCAGAGAAGAACAACACAACTCTCTCTCTCCCCTCTCTCTCTCTCTCTCTCTCTCTCTCTCTCTCTCTCTCTCTCTCTCTCTCTCTCTCTCTCTCTCTCTCTCTCTCTCTCTCTCTCTCCCCTCTCTCCCCTCTCTCTCTCTCTCTCTCTCTCCCTCTCTCTCTCTCTCTCTCTCTCTCTCTCTCCTCCTCTGTCCATCTGTTTTTCTCTCTGTTCTGGGGCTGGGAATAATCATCTGATTCTTACTCTTCTGTTCAGATCCACAGCAGCTCATGTCCTCTCTCTCTCTCTCTCTCTCTCTCTCTTCCCCTCTTTCCTTCTCTTTTCCTCTGTCTCTATTTGTCTCTAGAGTTTGTCTGTCAGTCAGAGTGACTCGCTGTGCGCTCTGAGACTCAGAGGAGAGGAGCAGTGGCTCTACCCAAAGCACCCAGGGACAGGTGTGTGTGATGAGAGAGACTCCACATGTTGGACGTGAGCTGGATCAATATGTCACCCGTGTGGGGGAGGACTGGACACCTGTGTGAAGTGTGACTCTGTGTGAAGTGTACCTCTGTGTGAAGTGTACCTCTGTGTGAAGTGTACCTCTGTGTGAAGTGTACCTCTGTGTGAAGTGTATCTCTGTGTGAAGTGTACCTCTGTGTGAAGTGTACCTCTGTGTGAAGTGTATCTCTGTGTGAAGTGTGACTCTGTGTGAAGTGTATCTCTGTGTGAAGTGTGACTCTGTGTGAAGTGTATCTCTGTGTGAAGTGTGACTCTGTGTGAAGTGTACCTCTGTGTGAGTGACCTCGGGTCTGTGGGTCGTGTGCATCAGGTCATGTGACTGTAAACACAAACTTAAAACTCTTCAGTTGTACGTGTGTGAAATGTCCGTGTGTGTATGAGCCCGTCACGCACCTCCCTCGTGCACGTTCTCCTCGCACGAGTACCAGATGCCGGTGTGGAAGCGGCGGAAGAGGAAGCGGTCGTCCCCGGTCTCCCAGCTGTAGTGCACTTTGCTCTGGTCCGTCTCGTTCACGCCGTAGTCGATGCAGTTGAAGCGGCGCACTTTGCTGCACGTGGGTTTGGGGACGCGTTGCGTGCCCACGCACCAGTACGTGCTCATGAACGCCGTGGTGGAGAAGAGCAGCGCCGCGAAGTTCAGACCCACGGACAGCAGCGCGCGACACCTGCGCGTGCTCTTCATGTCCGGACCGCGGACGGCGGTCAGAGGGTGCGCGTGGAGCCGCCGCGGAGACGCATGGCACGCGCCCCTGGCACAGACTGTGTATGTGTACTTCTATACACGCTCTACGTGTACTTTTACTTCTGGATACAGTCTATGTTTCGTGCGCTTGGCACCGCGGCTCCGGTCCTCAGGGCGCGCGGGTGGAGGTCCTCAGGGTGCGCTCAGGGCGCGCGGGTGGAGGTCCTCAGGGTGCGCTCAGGGCGCGCGGGTGGAGGCTCTGGTGAACGGGAGGACAGAGTAAAAAAAAGAAGCACGTGACATATCCAGCGGCCCGGTCCCGTCTGTGTCCCGCTCCTCTAAAGTCCCAGAAAACAGAGCGCGAGGAGCTATAAAGCCGCGCGTGCTCTCTCTCCCCGTGCGTCACCAGCGTCACTGACGTCCCCCTCGTAAATAAAGTCAACAGTCAGAGCTGTGCACTTTATTATTGTCAACACAAAACACAAGATGAATGAGCTTTACAAAAGGTTTGAGACGAAACTCCCCAAAGTCTGATCACGTGTCACACGCGGAGCCCTCAGTCTGTAAACCAGTTTATTTTCATGTCAGTCTTTATTTAACTTTTAATAGGCTGAAATAAACACGTGACACGTGCTGTGTCTCTCCTCCCTGTGAGCGTTTGGGAAAAGTACTAAGAGTAATTCAAGTGTCTCGTGTACTGTAATATTTGTACTGCACTGGATCTGCACGACACAAGAATGAGACAAACTAAATCACATCCACACACTAAAGGAGTGTGACGTCACTCACAGCGTTCGGCTCCAGTCAAATGAAGCTCACTGAGGTCTGCGGTGATGGTTCGAGTTCAATATTTAGGAATTGATTTGTGGACAAAACAGCAGCAAAATAAAAATCCAGGATCATGTAGAGTGACTGAATCTGAACAGGTACGGGGCGTCCCCATGAACACGTCTTGTGGAATGTGCAGGTCACTCATGTCCATTTATACAAACACAGTCAGATCTGATCAACTCCAAGAAACACAAATGTTCACATTATTTCAGATCATCACGACACTCACAGTGAAGACCAACTACAACCTTTACTCAAGTAACAGTACTGCTACTTCAATACAAATAGGACTCAAGTAGGAGTAAATGTATGTCACTAGAAACAAATTTACAAAATATATATAATAATTATTATTATTATTATTATCCTCTGAAATATGGATTCATTCATCTCCCTCTGTCACTCCACCTCTCCATCCCTCCTCCTGCTCTCTCCTCTTCTCCCTCCTTTCCCCCTACCCCATCCCTATCACTCTCTCTCTCCCTGTCTTCTCTCTCTCTCTTTCTCTCTGTAGATTTAAACAGTGGATTTGATTTGGACCGTTCAGAGGAAAGAGCAGTGTCAGAGGCAGGCGTCGCTCCTGTGGCTCGTGTGGCTCCTGTGGCTCCTGTGGCTCATGTGGCTCGTGTGGCTCCTGTCGTTCGATCCATCCGAGTTTTGACACATTTTCCAAATGTTTCTTTAAGAGTTTAATTACACAGTCAGTCACTCAAGTCTGTGACGCGACGGTCTTCAGTTCAAAAGCACATTTCAAACTTTAACTCGACAAAACAAAAGATTTTAAGGAGCCTAAAATGATCGGACGAGTGTCATTAGTGTTGAAGTTAAAACCACACTAAACGAGACCAAGACCAGTCCAGACCACAGGGTCCTGAGACCAGGACCAGTCCAGACCACAGGGTCCTGAGACCAGGACCAGTCCAGACCACAGGGGTCCAGAGACCAGGACCAGTCCAGACCACAGGGTCCTGAGACCAGGACCAGTCCAGACCACAGGGTCCTGAGACTGAAGACCAGTCCAGACCACAGGGTCCTGAGACCAGGACCAGTCCAGACCACAGGGTCCTGAGACTGAAGACCAGTCCAGACCACAGGGTCCTGAGACTGAAGACCAGTCCAGACCACAGGGTCCTGATACTGAAGACCAGTCCAGACCACAGGGTCCTGAGACCGAAGACCAGTCCAGACCACAGGGTCCTGAGACCAAGACCAGTCCAGACCAGGGTCCTGAGACCAGGACCAGTCCAGACCACAGGGTCCTGATACTGAAGACCAGTCCAGACCACAGGGTCCTGAGACCGAAGACCAGTCCAGACCACAGGGTCCTGAGACTGAAGACCAGTCCAGACCACAGGGTCCTGAGACCAGACCAGTCCAGGAAGACCAGTCCAGACCACAGGGTCCTGAGACCAAGACCAGTCCAGATCACAGGGTCCTGAGACCAGGACAAGACCAAGAATTATAAAGGTCGAGACCAAGACAAGATTGAGACCACAGCCCATCGAGACCAAATCAAGACCTTCTTTGTCATTTTCTACATGTATTTGTATTTTACAGATATTTTGGCACATTTATGTCAATGTTTTTATAAATCTATCTCCATTTGATCTGATTAATCTTCATTTAGGTTTAAGATTATCCAAGTAAATTGTACTGCACCGAAAATCCCACTTCCACTGGCACTTTGCACAAAACTGCTTCAAAGTGAATCAAGTGAGTTTTTTTCCACTTCAGAACATTTACAGTGACTTGATCTTCCTGGTTTTGCACCTCTGCACATTTACCATCATGAAATATGATCGCACTCAGACCTCGAGTCCAAGACAAGACCAAGACTGTAAAAAAGAGGCCAACACCGGTGTTCTGTTTCATTCACATGTTTGAGTAGCACGTTATTATTAGTCTGTCTTCATCTCCAAGGTACGACGGAGTATAAGGGTCAGATTAAAAAAAAATTTAAATGCTGGCGCTACGAGAATAAAGTCGTAACATTTCAACATTAAAGTCGTAATATTATGAGAATAAAGTTGAAGCCAGAAAAAGTCGTAATTTTACGAGAATAAAGTCATAATTTTACGAGAATAAAGTCGTAGTGAAAATAAAGTGGTAATATTAGGAGAATATCGGCTGCTCGGAAACTCTGAAGAAGTGGAGAATGGAGAATTTGGAGCATTTTGTAAAGGAGAAGAATCCGTGTATCATTCGTTCATTCGACTGAACCAGGACTGAATCAGGACTAAACCAGGTCCGGAATCAAACCAGAAAGACCAGGATTGAGACCGGGACCAAACCAGGACTGAGGCCGGGGCCAGACAGGACTGAAAACGGTTTAGTCCTAGTTTAGTCCTGGTTTAAGTCACGGAAATGGGAAATGGCGTTTCCGTGACTTTAAATGCAATGCGGGACTAATGTGCCGCATACGGACTGAACCAGGACTGAACCAGGACTGAATCTGAACTAAACCAGGACTAAACCGTTTTCAGTCCTGGTCCTGTTCCCGGTCTCAATCCTGGTCTCAGTCCTTGTCTCATCCCAGTCTAAGTCCTAGTCTCGGACCTCGTTTAGTCCTGGTTTAGTCCTGGTTTAGTCCTGGTTCAGTCCAGAGGCGCAAATAATGAAGAAAATTGTTGTTCATTTTCTTATTTTTGGTTTTATATTGAAAAACAAGGTTTTTCTTCTGCTGCATTTTTCACTTTGACTTTGATTTTATTATGACTTCATTCTCGTAATATTATGACTTTATTCTCATAATATTACAACTTTATTTTAACTTCGACTTTATTCTCATAATATTACGACTTTATTCCTGTAAAATTATGACTTTTTCTGGCTTCGACTTTATTCTCATAATTTTACGACTTTAATGTCAAAATGTTACGACTTTATTCTCGTAGCGCCAGCATTTTTTTTTTTTTTAATCTGACTCCGTCGTACCAAGGCTCAAAATGTTCTGTTCCATCTTGTGGCATCTAAAATGATCCAAAAGATTCTAGTGGAGGTGTAAGAACTTTAAAAGCACAATGGAGCACATAACATCACAAGCTCGAGTTTGTGAGTTAAACATGTGTGAATGAAACAAAACACAACTCCAGGTGTGTTTGTGATGAGAAAACAACATCAGCACAAAAGAGAAACTAGTGTAATAACGGTCGTTCAATATTATTTGATGTAAAAGGTTGTGAATGTCAAAGGAGGCGTCCACTGTTGAGCTGCAGAGTTACAGAGTCTCTGTAATTTAGATTTATTCACATGAAAGAAAAGAGAGAAGCTGAGACAAAAGCTGGGTGTCCACTCTTTGGTCCCTTGTTACTTGTTTCCGTGGTGATTTTCGTCCTATCAGAGCAGAGTAAATCACCCTGATCGTGTCTGGATTTATCTAAAGTCAAACAAAGCCCAGACTGAAGCCACGGACTCACAGATCTTTGAAGAACATCTCCTCTGAAATCTGCTCGCTCCAGATCTCGGCGTCAGTGAAGAAGGAAACTGACAACTTACTGAGAGAGGGCTGTACATAAACCCACTAAACTTTCCAAACGTGTGTGGACGTGCTGGGATCCTGTCTCCCTGATTCCAAAGGCTGTGACTGACAGGTGGATTAACCAATCAGAGAGGTGCATGGTCTGTTCAGATATAAAAACACACAGACAAACAAAGCACTAAACTGTTATTTGTCTTTGTTATAAGTTCTAGATTTTATTCTGAGTGACAGGAGGATTTTGGAGAAGAGTTATTTCTACATTTGAGAGACTCGTGACACAAATGAGCATCTCCGATTGGACCGTCCTGAGTTTGGACAGAGGACCGTCACTCTCTGTGCTCCAGATCCAGCCTCTTCTACAAGTCACAAATTACAGCCATCTTTGTCTCTGTGGGGATGTTTTACCAGCATGATCCAGAGTGTGGCTTTAATACTGGACAGTTTGTTTTCTTTGTCCTTCTCCAGTTCTTTGACGAGCTCCTGTGGTTTCCAGAGCTCCGGTGTGTCCTCCTCCGGACGTGAAGGAGCAGCGGCTCTACTCCGAGCTCCTCCGTGTGACTGAGCTCCTCAGATGGAGATGGGTCCCTGGGTGCAGCACTCATCTCTCACCTGTCTCACCTGTCTCATCTGTCTCATCTGTCTCATCTGTCTCACCTGTTTCACCTGTTTCACCTGTCTCACCTGTCTCACC